AAAAAAAAAAAAATCTATCACAAACAAGAGCTTGCAGAGAGGCCCTGGGTTTAAGCCTTAATACTGCAAAATAAAGTGTTCTGAGCATGTTTCAGGTAAGATAGGTCAGGTTATAATGGCCATCAGGTGAAGGGTATTCAATGCATTTTAGATTTATAATATTGAGTACACCAGCATGCAAGGCCACCCTAAGTCAGTGAGCGTCTACACACATACACTGAGTTACTCCAGCTCTTCTTTTTTATCTTTCTCTCTGCCTTTCTTCCTTTCCATCTTCCTTTCTTCTGCCCTCTTTTTCTTATTGTTTTTTGGTCTTTTTTTTCCTTGATGTATTGTGCTTTATTTTAGTTGATTTATATTATTGTGTATTCAGTGTAATCTCCTGCATATCTACTGTGCTGTTTATCTCATCCAGTATATTTTTTTAATCTCAGACATTGTAATTGCATTGCAGCTAGATTTGGGACTTTTTTTTTTTACATTTTCCATGTCTCTCTTATTTTGTTCATGTCTTTCTGTACCTTGTTAAACATATGAAATATAATTAAAATAGCCTTTACTAGTTAACTAATAGACTACTATTCTTGCCTACTAATTCTGTCACTTGTGCAATTTCTAGCTCTATTTTCATTGATTGATTTTCTTCTACATTGTAATTGTATTTTCCTGTTACTCTGTGTCTCATTTTTTATTGTTTTCCAGACTGCTAACTTTACCTGGTTGATACTGGAAATTTTTGTATTCCTTTAATTGCTTGTGATAAGAGGGTAAATACAGTCCCTATTATTTCATTAATGCCTGTGTAGTCAGCTTTTCCATCACTGTGACAAAAGCAACATAAAGCAGGAAAGACATTTTGGCTCATGGTTTCAGAGGCTTTGGTCCATGGCTGCTTAACTCAGTTCCATTGTTTTGGGGCCTGTGGCCAGGCAGAGCACCATGGCAGAGGGAAGAGTGGGACAGAACTGCTTACTTCATGGTGGCCAAGAAGCAGAGAGTAAGAGAGAAAAAGAGAAAGGGACTAGGGATAAGATACAGCCCCAAGGGCACTCCACTAAGGACCTGCTCCTTCAAGTAGGCTCTACCTCCTAAGTTTCCATCACCTCCCAATAGCCTATCAAATTATGAACTCAAGAATGAATTACTCCATTAATGAGGTCAGAACCCTCAAGATCCAATCATTTCCCAAAATCCCTTACTTAACATTGCTACATTTGGAACCAAGTCTTCAACACATGAGTCTCTGGGGGACATTTCAGATCCAAACCACAGCAATGTCACAGTAGAAGTCTCAAGTCTCTGCCACATTAAGTATTTTTTACTGGCTCAGGCAACTGGAGATGAACAGTCATTTTTGCCAATCCAGCAAGTTCTGAGTCCTTAATATTCCCTTAAATTCTGTTAACAAACTGGTCATTTCCTTTTCAGCTCGTCTCTCAAGTACTTCGTCAAGTTCAGTTAGTAAGAGCCCTCTGACCCTTTCAACACTCTATCTGAAATCTCATTACTCAAATCTATGAGTTCATTAAGTACTTTCATCTTACAAATTACCTCAGACAACAATTTTACCAATTATTAGACCAGACATAATATAGGTCACCTTATTTTCCAACCTGCTGTGGCAGTTTCTTTGCCATCTTTTCTTAGACTCTACTTGCTTCCCATTCCCAAAGTCAAAGCTATGTATGTTAGAGTTAGCTTTAGTTTAGGTTTGGTTTATGGCAGCACCTGATTTCTCAGCATCAATTTGTGTATCAGTGATCTCTTGTCACAATAATGCTGCATAAAAAGTCACCTTAAAATGTAGTTGCTTAAAACAAAATTCATTCATTACTTCTCACAGGTCCATAGTTCTCATCTAGACTGGGTGTGTCTGATCTTGACTGGGCTGGCTCATATGTCTACAGTCAGCTGAGGCTGTATGATTTAGAATGTCCTTACCGCTTATGTAGGACAACTTACCTCCACCCCCATGTGTCCTGCATACTTCCAGCAAACTGACATAGTCATGTTCTCATGAGTGGCATGTCCTCACAACCATCCCAGGATTCTAAGAGAGGAGGCGGAAAAGCCCAGCATTTACACCATTTCAAACCTGTGCTTGAATCAAGGTTGTAACTGACATGTTGAGCAAGGCAGGTCCTATGGTGTGTTCAGAGTCCGTATGGAAAGGCACTAGTAAAGGGTATAGCTACAGGGAGGCACAGAAACCAGGGGCAGTAAAGCGACCTGCCCACCCCACCTATAAAGTAGGTATTCAGACTGTATAACTACCATCGCCCCTGTTTCACAGATAGGAAACAGGCACAGAGAAGTTAAGTGTCTTGTCCAACGTTATGGGCTAACGGGAGTTCTAACTTGAGCCCAGGTGATGTGGCTGTGGAGTCAAGGTCTTACGCACTGTGCTAGACTCCATCCTGGAAATAGGCCCCCAACATCCAGAACAGATCCTCCGGCCTCCTCTTGGAGCCCTCCAAGCTCATCGGCTCCCAGATCCAGCCATCATCCTCAAAGACAGAAGCCACGAATCTACAGGACCCGGCTGTGGTCCATAGAGAACTCCTACAGTCCAGTATTCCCGCAGCTCAGGTGGCTGAGGCCGCAGAGTGAAGCCTTTCAGGGGTTAAAAGCAAGGAAGAGAGAAACAAAAGAAGGAATAAAGTCAAGAAATGTGCCATGAAGCTTCTTGCAGCGCAAAGCAGAGAAAGTCATTTCCAACTTCTTTCATCTCGAAGATGAAGCCACTAAATAAAGGGGCAAAGCGGCGAACACAAGGGCTTTTAATCTGTCTCATCGCCTTCATAATAACTGCAAATTTTCCCTGGGCCCCTGGGAGGGAGCTCTTCCCTGCGCTCGGCCTTATCTCCCCCTCCACATGGCGCGCCACTGCCCGGGCCGTCCCGGCGAGGCCTGGGGGAGCCGGCGCTCCCCGCCGCATTGTGCGGAGGCCCGGGGCTCGGAGGAGGGACGGAGGAGGGATGGAGGAGGGATGGAGGAGGAACGGAGGAGGGACGCCGGCCTGTCAAAGGGAAGCGGCTCCGCGCCTTCATTACCGCGGCCTTTCAGCCGCGCGCATATCAGAGCCAGGCCTTTTCAGAGGCGCTAATTAGCAATTTGGAGCCTTGCCCCCTCTGGAGAGCCGCCTTCAGTCTAACAAGTGGGACCGGCGCTGCCTCCCTTTCTTCCTGCACTTCATATTTATTGTTTTCCCGCTTCTCCCTCTCCTGCTCTGGCCCCTCCCCTCCCACCGCATTGTCCAGCTCGCCACCACCAGATAAGGCCTGGGGGGGGGGTATCATTAATCACTCTTTTAATTCTCAGTTAATGATAACTTCCTCGAGCTGAGAGAAGTTAATCTTTCTTGGATATGGAGAGGAAGGGAAGAGTTGGGCTGAGTGGGGGTGGAGCAGACCCAGAAGAATGGAGATGACAGAAGGGACTAACAATTCTAACCTTCCCTCACTCAGTTCTTCAGCTTTCTAGGTGACCGTTGGCATTACACCGGATCCTCTCATCTTCCTGCCTCTCCACCCAGCACCAGTCTTTCCCAGTTTATAAAAACTTAACATGTTCTTCAAAGTTTTGCCAAGATGCCACCTCCTCTGTGAGGTCAACCTTGATTGCCCTGGTTGAATTGCTCCATTTCCTCCTTTTAGAATCTCATCGCACTCTCCACACACGGCTATGGCAGTGAATTCTGCACAGCTCGTAGTGGTTAACAGCTCAAAGGGTAGAGACCATCTAATCTTTAAAATCTCCACATCCTTCAAAGGACCCACCGATGTACAGCGAACATTTGTTGAATGAATGGATAAATCCCTACCGCCACAGGCTTTTATTTTCTTTACCAAACATTCAAATAGCACTTGCACATACTAGGAATGTCCCCCAAAGGTTCACATATCAGAGGCATTATTGAGAAGTGGGGGAATCTTTAGAAGGTGGGGCCTAACGAGAGGTTATTAGATCACTGGGGCGTGACCTTGAAGGGGATT